CGGTCCCGGCACCGCGTTTGGCCCGTGAGCGTGGAATGACGACACCGGCCGCGCTTCCACCCGAGCGGAGCTGACGCCGGGAGCAGCAGAAGCCCCGTCTTCGGTCGAGGGGGGAGCATCAACAGGAAAAGGCCCTTCCTCTCCCCGCAGGCTGATTTTTAAAGTCTGCTTCTCCTTTTCTCTCTGCATCGCGGTGCCTAGAACAGTTCCGAGCTCCTCGGCGCCTGAACCCCAAATCCCGTTTGGGAATCCCCAGCCCGTTTCACAGGAGCCGGGAGCGCGCACACCGTGCGGAGGGAAGAGCCCGAGGGCCTGCCTAAAATGCCTTCGCCCCGTCTGCACCAGCCCGCGCCTCGTGCTGCTGGTGGGGTCAGAGAGCGCGGGCAGGGTGCAGGCAGGGTGCAGGCAGGGTGCAGGCAGGGCGGCGTGCCCCATGACCCCCGGAACGCCCGTCCCCAGGGCGCTGGGGTTTTGCACAGAGCCTGCGGCCAGAGCCTGCGCCCTGCGAAAGACACTGCACCCCATGGAGGAGAGCCACCATCACCCCCCGGAAAGAGGCCCTGGGTGTCTGGTGGAAGCGCCTTGCGGCCGCAGAAATTGGAGCGGCGTGGGGGCTGGAACGGCCCTGCAGTGCGAAGGGACAGCAGAGCAAGGCGGCGGGAGCGAGGGGCGCATGGGCCCCCTCTCCTGCGAGGGCTCGGGCAAGGCGGCTGCCCCATCCACCAAAGCCTCGCGCCGGGGAAGCTGGGGGTGCCCGGTCATTGGGATCCTTTAACTTCATGGGTTTTTTCCTCAAAGAATTCAAGGCTTACAATCAAAATACTCTGTTGTTTCTTTTAGAATGGATTTTAACCAACTCCTTTTTCCTACCCATAAAAATAGGCAATGATTCCTCGTATTAACGCACACATCTTCTTCAGTACATCTGCTTTAATCTCAGATTTTTCCCAACAAATCTAAGCTTCTAAGTTGTCAAGTAAGAGATTACTTATCATGACATAAAATGCACCTCTTCTAGGATATTTTTCCTATCTAAATATGGACTTGGCAGGTTTAGAGCCCTAAAGAAAAGAACCATACTAAAAGAAAAAGAACCCAACTGGGTTCCTTTGGCAGCATATTCCCAGCAAAACCAGCAACTTCCATTAGCTTTAGTGGGAACTACCTGGTCCCGCTCTTCGTTCAGGTTTATTTTCAGAATCTAAGCACCACCTCCATGACATGTTCTTCTCCCCTCAATATGCATCTATGCTATAGCACATAATACTATAGTGCATTCAATTTATACTATTGTAGGAAGCTGCCGCAAGCAGCCGTACCCGTTTCACAGAGCCTGAGACGAGGAGGGCCCTTCGCCACCGAGCACGGTTCCTGCAGTGTGCCCCATTTTGACATTCGTAACCTCAGCGACTCACGTTCTTCCATCCTGTCAGAAAGCAGCATTTAACAGCTTGACTTTCTTCAAAACAGATTTTAGGAAGCAGCTTTCTAGGAGTTACTGAATTTGATTTTCATAATTAACACAACATACAAAGTATTTGATTTGTCTGTTAACGCAAAGCAGAGAATAGCAGTGGCTCCTAACAAGGCTGAGCCAAGGGTGCAGAGCAGGTTAATACCGACCGCTGCAATAAAAACAGAAAGCAATTTAAAACCTTCTCTTCAGGTTTTTCTCCTTTTGTTTACCTTTCTGTAGACTTCAGAATAGTAGAAAATGAATAATACAGATATTACTATGCCGTTATGGATTTCTCAGCTGTGATGGACAGTCAGTCCAATTGTGAAACTTCCCATTTGGGAAGCGGATCAAGGCAGAGCACATTCAAGCTGCTGAGAAGAGCAGCTACAGATCCAAAGCATATCAGCAAGTATGTAATTACTATCCATGTGGAACCAATACAAGAGCTTACGTGCTGCCTATATTAAAGTGAAACAATGCTTCTATTGCAGCTAGATCTAAAGACCCTCTAGACCACCACCTACCAAATACAGAATAAACTGAATTATTCAGGCAAGACTCAACATGTGGATGCTACGGGAGAAAATAAGACGCCCTACACTGAGCTGTAAAGTAAACCAAAATGACCCATAGATGGCTATAAATCTACTCGGTGGTAAGCCCAAGCCTACCAGAACTGCGTGTTCTTAAAACTTCAGGAGGCAGAAATGGAAGCCTGTTGCTGCCGTAGCAGCGATACAGCTCCCAGCGCCGCCACATGCACATCTCATGATCCTTCCGACTATCGCCCACAGCGCTGGTCTTGCCCAGATGTCTGGAGGCAGCCCCTGGTTCCAGGAAACACTTTGTCATCTTGTGCCGAGCAGTTTTTAATGCTGCTGGATGCCACGGCACAAGCTCGACATTCAGCTTTCTCAACAGCTCTCTCAGAGGACTACATTCGCCTCTTTGTGTTTGGGTTTCTGTGCTGACATCAGGGAAAAACAATGTCACTCTGTTATCTGGCAGCTCCTCCGCATTCCTTGGTGGGATTAACTCATTCCTGGTACCTTACAGACGTTTCAGGGAGGCCTTCCTTGTCCCTGGGGACGGGGTTTTCATCAAACCTGCTCAAGTTTTTGCATTTTCCATCGATTCTCGTTAGATACACGCTTAAATTCACTCTGTATTTTCCACAGCAATTTTTCTCCAAGCTGATGGATTTCTGTAGTCCAGCCTGAAAAGAGTTTGGTTTCAAAGTTACCCAATGTACAGACTGCATCAGAATGATCACAGTGAAATTCGGAAGAGACAGGTAGGTTACTTCTGCATTTCTTTCTGGTACAGTTTCCTATCACTGCACTTGTTCCCAGGATTAAATGTTTGCACTCGAAATTCCTTCTTAAAATAAACACTTATTCAATAAAATACAGAAGCAGAGCATAGCAGTATAAAACAAACACGTGAAGAGCATTCGTTTCATTGATCCAGCTCAGCTGTACACATCCATTGCCTTGCGCAATCGCAAACCTGCCTGGCCTGCACGAGGTCTCTGCTCCCTGCAGGAGCCGTCTTCCTTCCCTTTTTGACACTGCAACCCTCTGCGTACTGTTACAGGTCTTGACCAAGCGCTAGAGCCCGTGGCGATGGCATCGGCCATTTATAAATAAATAGCTGGAGTTATTTTTCTTCTATCATATGGTCATACCGTCCATTTGTTTGAAGTGTCCAAATGAGTCGGTGCAGAACATTCACGAATCTCTTACATTATTTCTACTTTATTTAGAGTTCCTGTCCTCCTTCAAAAAACATTCCTGCCGGAGACTAGGAAAACTGCAAAGTGACAAATTTCAGAGATTATGAACAACAGACTAACTACTTATTTATGCCACTTACCAAACCATTTTAAATAATAAATGTATTAGAAAAAAAATGAGGACAGAGTTGTGATTTGCAAAGTTAAGCAACGAAAAAAATTGCCTATGTTACATTTACCAAATAGTTTTTACCTACTGCCACTAATCAGGGAATATAGTGCTCAGAATAACCATTAGGAAGTTCCACACGTATGTTAGACTGAGTTTGAATGAAGTTACAATCTTAAGTCCTCCAAATACAAATTGCTTTTTCTCCTATATTTTTACATCTTTGATTT